GTTGGCGCAGGATAGAGCAGGGTTTAGGGCTCTTGTGCATAGGGTCGCTATGAGTCGGAAACGACTCGACGGCACATAACAACAACAACAACAATTCTTTCTTATCTTATTGGTCATTTGATCAGTCATAGAGTTGAGAGGTACTTGTACCTCTTGCTATGTTACTGATGCCTCTTCCTGAAATATTCATCTGTTCTTTTATCAAGGATTTCTGGTGTTCCTGATAGTGGATTTGTTTCTAACAGGTGAAAGACTCTTTACCCTGAGAAGCCTAGGCAGTACAGTCAAACATGCACTCAGGAAACAGCTAGCAATATGTACAACACATTATGGTGGTGATAATGAATCACTTCCATGAGTGACATAACAAATGCAAAATGAAAATTAGTGGTAGGATAAACTATGCTAACAGAAGAAGTAAAAGATGTCTTTTATTTACAATTTGATTATGGTGTCACTGAGCATTTGCAGAATGGGAGAAAATCAAATGGGATAGTGTCCTGAGAAAGTGATTATTATTAGATTATTAGTGATTAATATTATTATTATAATGTTGGGTCCCTTCTTCACTGAAATAATTGTTGAGTTTTTCCTGTCTTTCCAGACTCTTGATTGGAAGCCAAAGTGTTAAAATTAGTTTTCTGAACCAGAGAGAAATGCTCATACCTGACAGTATCTCAAATCACACATATCCTGTGTGTGAATTGTCCTTTACAGTGGTGTTGGCCTAGCTCTCTGCAAACGCCTACTCACAGAAGATGACGAGCTTCACCTATGCTTGGCGTGCAGGAATGTGGGGAAAGCGGAGGCTGTCCGATCCGATCTGCTGGCCTCTCACCCCACAGCCGAGGTCACCATTGTGCAGGTAGATGTTAGCAACGTGCAGTCTGTGTTCCGGGCCTCCAGGGAGCTCAAACAAAGGTATGCATCTTGTGGGGAAGCAATGGTTTGTTTCTTTTATGTGATTTTGTAGCATGACAGTTAATATATTAACAAAGGATAAGAAATCCTAAAAGACAGTGTAAGAAATTATGCTGAAGAAATCTGTATGAGTGAATCCATTACTTCCCAATACCACATTCTTGCTCATGACCATGATAATGTCTTACATTTCTTTGGTGTTTATGAATATACTTTGATACATGATATTCATGTAGATCCTTTGATGTCTCAATACAGTTTTAACTTTCTTCAATGTAACAACTTCATTAGGTAGCTTGACTCTTACCAAGTGAAGTAGCTGAGACCGAGATACAGAGATTTAACTGTGAAGACCATTTGACTTTACTGACTAGATTGAACTTTACATTGATTGCATTGTTCCTATAGCCCAGATCTTCTCTCCAAATTTTTAGAGATCTGCCCCTAGGCTAATAAAAAATATTATCAATTATATAGTAATTGACATAAAGTAAACCCATAGTGGTTTAATGAATTCTCATTTATAGCAGCCTTTCTTGGATTTCTTTAAGGGAGGAGGGGGACTGTCAATTTTTCTCCTTTGGAATTGTTTTTGGATTTGCACTGCTGAACTTTTTACTAGCCATCTGGTCTGATACTTTTTACATATACAGTAACTCCACCAGGACTTCTTAATTGGCATATAGTAGGCATTTGGAAAATAGTTGGTGTACAAAAGAATAGGAACTTTGAATGTATGTATAAATCCCTTGAAAATGTGCACAGAATTGCTTATATTTGTACAGTACACTTTTTATGGGGAGATCTCTTTGATTGTTTTAAATTCCCAGACTAATTAATGAGCAGAAAAAAAGTTAAGAACTTCGAACTATTACACTTTCCCCTTGAGCCATCTAGAATCATTAACATTTAAGTATTGTTGTAATTGAGGTCCTTAAGAAACAATGGGCTGAATTCTTTGCAGAGTAAAAGGAAGCACAGTAGAAACAAAGATCCTGTATCTTGTAAAAGCATTTTCTCAAGAATGCTTTGTCTGAATTTTATTTATATTAACTGATATAGTTATTTGCATCTCTCTATTCCAAATGCACAAGCCAAAGTTAGTTTTTTGTACCGCAGCTTCTCTTGTTGCCCCCTTAGCCTTTTTGGAAATGTTTTTTCTCTCTCCTCTACAACTGAGCTAGGATTTTAGGTCACATCAGCCTTCTGAAAGAACTGAGCAGGTTATCTAGGTTCAAATTTAATATTGGCTATGAATAATGTATTCCACATTCCCTATTGTTGTTGTTATGTGCTGATGAGTTGACTACAACTCATAGTGACCCTCTGCACAATAGCTCTGAACCCTGCCCTATCCTGAGCCAATTTTACTGTCTCTGACACACCTACCTTCATTACCCTAGTTACTGTGTCAATCCATCTCATCTGGGGTCTTCCTCTCCTGTGCTGTCCCTTGACCCTTCCAAGTATGAGATCCTTTTCTAAAGACTGATCCCTCCTGACTACATGTCCAAAGTATGCCGGATGGAGCTTCATAATCCTTGCCTCCAAAGAATGGCTTGGTTTTACCCTCTCCAGGACAGATCTGTTGTTCTTCTGGTGGTCCATGGCAACCTCAATCCTCTTCTCCACAGCTCCACAGCACCACAACTCAAAGGCTTCAGTTGTTCTTCTGTCATCATTGTCCCGCTTTCTGATGCATAGCAAGTAACTGTAAAGACCATGGCCTGGTTCAGGTGCACGTAGTCTCTAGACTGACATGCTTGCTCTCCAGCATTCTGGAGAGGTCTCCAACAGCAGATTTTCCTAATGCAACTCAAAAACCCTAAGCAAAATAGAGTACATTCCCTACTCCACCATAAATTACATCTTCCAAGACTATGAAACTGTTCAGAAAACTCTGGTATGTACAATGCTAAGAATCATAGAATTAAGAGAAAAGTTATATTTTAAGCCATATTTGCAGACATTCTTCCACTAAATCTTTTTCACCAGCTGGACTTTCTACCTATTTTGTATAGATGTAGTTATGATTTTTGATTGGAAGGCAAGAACTTCCATTTCTCAGGTCATAATAGGCCATTCTAATACATTTGACTTTTAACATTGATATTCATTACTCACCAAGATTTAATATAATAACTGTATGTAACATATATTTAAATGAGTGAGGCTAGTAGGTAGAAGAGAATGCTACAATACTGAGTTGCCCCAGCAAACTGCAGTCAATGTTTAGTAAAGCTCTGAACTGTTTATTTAATCCCCTGAATAGCTCTTTGAGATGTTGTTGTTGTTGATTGCCATCCACTCGAGTATGACTCATAGTGACCTTATGAACAAAAGGCTTAAAGCCCCTCTACAACTATCGACATTTATCAAAGTTCATAGGGTTTCCAGAGGTATGTTCTTTAGGAAGCGGGTGCCTCTCCTGCTTCTAATAATAGTTATAAAGATATTCTTAAATTTAAAGTAGGTGCATATGTCTAGGTATGCACGATATACTTGCTTATGTCAGGAGTCTTACACTTAATAGCCCAAGGAGATATTTTTGGGTTGGAAAGTAACTTAGGTCTAACGAAAGAATCCAGTTGGCCAGAGCAGTTCTCTCAGCATACATCTGTAATATTCTGAGCCACTAAAAACCTACACTAAAGTTGTTAAGACATTAACTCTGACTTACTGTGTCTTCAGTGTGTTAGAATAGAACTATGCTCCATCAGGGTTTCAATGATGGATTCTTTGGAAGTTGATTGCCAGGCCTTTTGGATTGTTGGTTTGTTTTGTTTCTGAAGTACCATTGGGTGAGTTTAAACCACCAACCTTTTGAGTAGCAGCTGCACTTGTTCCCCATTTGCGTCACCCTGGGACTCCTTTCAGTTCTCTTAAGCACTGCTGTTGAGTTGTTGCCAGCCCTACAGGATAGAATAGAGCCACCACCATAGGTTTTCAAGACTGAAATCTTTATGGAATCAGACTTCCAGATCTTTTTCTTGAGGAACGGTTTTTGGGATTGAACTGCTGACCTTTGGGCTAGCAGCTGAGGGTTCCTTCAGTCTGTTAACTCATGGCCCTTGAGTTGGAACAGACTCATTGCTGATCCGCTAGTGGATTTTCAGAGGCTGTAAATCACATGGGAGGAGATGGCCCATCTTTCTCTCACATAGCTGCTGGTGGATTTGAAGTGGCAGAGAGACATGGTCTTTGGGTTAGAAGAGCAGCTGCCTATGAACTATACCACCAGAGCTCATTAAATATGTATCTATGAAAACAAATAAAGAAACAGTTTTATCAAAAAATAGAGCAATTTTGGCAACAATCTTTGAAAGTATGAACTGATATTTTACTAAAACCAGATTTTAATTTCATGTCTTAGTATAATTCCTACTCTTTGCTGAGCATGACTTCTTTAATCCTAGTCAAATATATTACTACTATTAATGAAAACTTGCAAACTAAGTAATGGAAAAACCAACAATGGGTGAACTCTTTGTGGTACAGTCTTTGTGGTACTAACATAGATGGCCTGATGGTATCAATGTCAGCATTGTGAACACTGCACTTAATAATTAACATGATTTGATGGTAAATTATTTTTAGGATTAAAAAGAAATATGTGATTGTACTATGTGTTGGTAACCACGTTTTTATTTCAAGGTCCATATTAGCAACTATTGCCTCTTTTATCCGGAGGACAGAGAGAACAGTGGGATACATAATATTCTAGAAGATATTCTAAATAATCAAAGTGTCTGCCAGAATCCTGAGAACAGAATTAAACTTTGTTTTAAAGAGTACACAAAGATGAAGGCTTAGAGTCACTTAAAAAGGAAAAAAAAGATATAAAAATGCAAAAGGGAATAGTTCACAGCGTGTACCTCCCCACCCCATGACAAGTGGTCTTAAAGAAACATACCAGGAGCATTTTACACCTATTCAGTGTTTCAGTCTTATTATTTGCTTGTGAGTTTCCATCATATTCTGATACATAACTCTTGCCCATGTGCTTTAAAGGTTTCCATAGAGCTCTCCTGCTTTAAGAGATCTTCTGGCATTTGGGTTCCTGCATTTAAAAGATAAAAGATCAGATAAATGACAACTGTGGATGCACTTTATTTTCAGCTAGAGGAAGGCAGAAATTAAAGCAAAAAAAGAAACCTTAGTAAGATCAGAAGGAGAGCAGGTTTAATAGGCAGAGAGTTGTTAGAACACCTAATATGAAGGACAAAATTAGAAGACTTAACTTCAAAGTCCATTATGGTTCCCCAAATTCTGTTTAAAGCCATTCTTGAGAAAACAAAAAATATTGCTCAAATATTTACCCTGGCTAAACAAAAATCATTGAGAAATGTGTATTGTAATACTGATATGTCATATTTTTATTCCCTTTACTGTGTGTATCTTTTTGGGGTTTTTTTTTTTTTTTTGCACTTTCATGTTGGATATCATCAAGTCGAGTAAATTTTCGAATAATATCATTTGCAAACAAAATACTGCTGCGTATCATTCAGAAATGACTAGAACAGTACATGGAGTACTGCCAGATGTTCAAGCTGTTTTAGATGAGGCCATAGTACCAGGGATATCACTGCTGATGTCACATGGATCCTGGCTGAGAGCAAAAAATACCAAAAGAATGTCTGCTTGTGTTTTATTTGACTATGCAAAGGCATTTGAAAGTTATGGCTAACATTGAGAAGAATAGAAATTCCAGAACTCTTATTATGCCTGTGCAGAACTTGTACCTAGACTGAGAGGCTATTGGGTGAACTGAGCAAAGGAACTTGACATTAAGAAAGATGTGCAACAAGGTTGTATTTTTTTCTCCATATATTTAATCTGTATCCTGAACAAATTATTTGAGAAGTTGGACCCTATGAAGAAGAATGTAGCATCGAGATTGGAGGAAGATTCATCAATAACTTTCATTAAACCCTTTTATAGACCTTCATTATTCTAGTCACCCTGGAGATACTCACAGTCTTGTCTTGGTGTTTTCCATGCAGGTTTCAGAGGTTAGACTGTGTGTATCTAAATGCTGGAATCATGCCTAATCCACAGCTGAATATCAGAGCATTTTTTTCTGGCCTCTTTTCAAGGTAACGTCCATAATTGTTTGGAGGGGAGGTCGTCACTTTTGTTATTAATTTGGCTGCATTGGTTCTGACTCAATGAAACAACAACAAATATGTCCGTTAGTAAGAACATTTCAGAATTAGGCAGAGTTCTCTGTGAAGCCTCAATACCAGAAAGGCTGCCTTCAATGACAGTGTATGTCTCTGTGTGGTGTATAATCTCTTCAGTATCTTCACTTACAGAAACTGTAAAAATACCATACACTTGTCTTCTGCTTTTTCAGAAAAGTGATTCATATGTTCTCCACAGCTGAAGGACTGCTGACCCAGAAAGATACCGTCACAGCTGATGGACTCCAGGAGGTGTTTGAAACCAATGTCTTTGGCCACTTTATTCTGGTAAAAACATTTTGGGATTAATAAGCCAAGATTTAGTGTTATAATTGTAAAGGTTTTAATGAAGGGTTGCTGTGCCATTTTGATGAGCCCATTCATTTGTGGCTAGCATTGTATCTTTGATAAAGACAAAATCCATTGAAAAATGAGGAAGAGATAAACTCTTTAGCAAATGGTACTGGCAAACTAGGTATCTATTTGCAGTAAATGGAAATAAGGTCTTTATCTCATCCACATAAAAAAAAACAACAACCTGAAGACCTAGGTGAAATCAAAAACTTTTGGGGCAAATTCGCAACAATGGACTTGAGCATGATGGAATTCGTGATGGTGGCACACGATAGGACAAGGATCTGTTGTTTATAAGGTCACTATACGTTGTAGTTGACTCAACAAGCTATTTGATAATAGACTATCAAATATAGTTGAAGATGCATAATCAGCAGAAGATAAGCTAGATGTTTGAGACTTCCTAAAAATTAAATCATTATGTGCAGCAAAAAATTTCTCCAAAAGAGTTAAAGAGAACCTACAGATTGGGGGTGGGGGGAATGTTTGACAGTTACATATCTGACAAGAAACTCATCTCTCCAATTTATAGAAAACTTCAGCACCTCGAAAAGGAAAAAAACAACCCAAACAACTGTTACTTTACCAAAGAAGACGATGAGTCCACAAACACATGTAGGAATGCTCATGATCACAGGCTATTCACTCACTCACTCATTGCTGTTGAGTAAATTCAGACTCATAGTTGCCTTTCCTTTGAGTTTTCAACCCTGTAAATTGCATAGAAGGAGACTGCCTTATCTTTCTTCTGTGAAGTGGCTGTTAGATTCAAGTTACCAAAGAAGCATGCATGGCCTTTGGATTAGTAGTGCAGCTCTGTACTATGCCCCAGAGCTCCCGCAGGAGTTTTTCTTGTTATTAGGGGCTGTCTAGTTGACTCAACATCCTCATGTACAGTAAAGCTAAACCTTGCCCAATTCTAAGCCATCTTTAAGACCTCTGATATGCTAGAGCCCACTGTTACAGGCACTGTCTCAGTCTGTGTTGTTGAAGGCCCTCTCTTTCTCTGACTCTCCATATTTCCCAGCAGGATGTCTTTTTCCAGTGACTGGTCCCTCCTAACAGCATGCCCGAAGTATATGAGATGGTGTTTTACAATCCTTGCATCTTCACTTCATCCCAGACAGACTTGTTTGTTCTTGTGGAAGCCATGGGATAGGCAGTGCTCTTAATTAGTTATCGGGTGAAAATAGAAATAACAAGGAGATACCATCTCACCCTAGCAACAAAAAACAAATGCTAGCAAGAGTGTGGAAAGATTGAAACTGTCATACACTGCTGGTGGAAGTATAAAACGGTACAACCACTCTGGAAAGCAATTTGATGCTTCCTGAGAAAGCTAAGAGTAGAAAGCATTTGATCTACAAATCTCACTAAGAGATTTATCCCAAAGAAATATGTGCTGCAATCTAAACTGACATTTACACACCCATGTTAATTAGAGTAACAAGTCAATGGAAACAACTCAGGAGTCTATCAGTGGATAGTCACTGTGTGAAGATTCCCACAGTAGAGTATTCTGCACTACTCAATGATAAAGAATTTGTGAAACACCATACAGTATGAATCAATCTAGAGGAAATGATGTTGAGTGACATAAGTCAGTCACAAAAAGGAAAGTTATGGCATAAGCCCACTATTATAAAATAGTAAGACAAAATTTACACACAGATGGAATAATTCTTAGCAGATTAACAGAGATAAGAAAGGAGTAAAAAAAATAGTAAATTGATAACATCTGGTAAAGGGAAAGACATTATACAAGAATGGATTGATCTGAAATTGTAATTAATTATATTACATTGATAAATTATAATTATAAAACAAAATGTTGTTATGTGCCATCGAGTCGTTTGCGACTTATAGCGACCCTATGCACAACAGCCCTAAACCCTGCTCTATCCTGCGCCAACCACACTGCCTCTGACACACCTATCCCGATTACCCCAGTCACTGAATCAATCCATCTCATAGAGGGTCTTCCCCTCCTGCGCTGTCCCTCCACCCTCCCAAGCATGATGTCCCTCTCCAAGGACCCATCCCTCCTGGCATCATGTCCAAAGTATGTCAGACGAAGCCCCAGAATCCTTGCCTCCAAGGAGTAGCTTGGTTTAATCCTCTCCAAGATGAATCTGTTTGTTTTCCTGGCAGTCCATGGTACATTCAGTACTCTTCTCCAGCACCACAGCTCAAAGGCATCAACTCTCCTTCTGTCCTCTCTAGTCATTGTCCAACTCTCTGATGCATAACAAGCGATTGCAAAGACCATGGCCTGTATCAGGTGCACCTTAGTCTCCAGAGAGACACCATTGCTCCTGAGTACTGTAGAGAGGTCCCTAACAGCAGACTTTCCCATCATGATATGCTGTACATGAATTAAAAATCAATATGATTTATACTTAGGCTCAAATAAAAAAAGAAAAGAAATAAATGAGAAAAGAGCAATGCCTAGAACTGAGGAATGCATACTGATCCTTTTCTAGGTAGTCTTTGGTACTGATTTTGCCACCAGTAGAATGAGGTAGCAGGTAATTCATTGTTGACACTCCATAGTTAACATTTCATTAGAATTATTCCTCATTTTCTTTGCATCCACACTTAATACATTGTAATTCCAGGGATGGGTACAAAATCAAGCCTGATCTGCAACTTATCTAGCTTGTTCTGTGCCATTACCTGAGGCTCATGGCATTCAGACAGCACTAATATGTAGATTAAGTAATGATCAATTGTGATGACAGTTGCTTGTAAGTCTTTGTTGATGATGAAATTTTTGCTGATAACTGGGTTTGCCTACATAAACTCTGAACTTTCTTAAATGTATGCTGCTGATTTACTTCACATTAACCCTAGTTTCCCACAAATTGATGATTTTATATTAATAATATTTATTTACAATAAATTAAGCTACTTTCAATTATGAGATAAATATTTAGTGCTTATGTTGGACAATTTCCAGTATTTTTTTTTATTGAGAGGGAAAACCCAGGCATTAGTATGTATTACATAGTACAACAAACATTGATTGCCAGTATTGAGAGGGAATTGGAGTCCTTGAGTATCAAGTGTGTAGGGGAAATTCTCATATCATTCTGTCTTTTGCGTTCTTTTTAAAAATAATAGGCAGCATTCCTTCAACAATTAAAGTTAATTGAAATATAAAATGAAGATTAGGTTGAATTTTATCCATTTATTAACACTTAACAGATTCAGTATCTTATATTCTTATTCTATTTCCCTGTTTGTTTTGAATTATTAAATTAGTTTATAATTACAGAAGTGTAACAGTTGTACGAAGACGAAGATTCATCAACAACCTGCGTTATGCAGATGACACAATGCTGCTTGCTGAAACTGAAGTGCTTGCTGCAGAAGGTTAAGGACTGCAGCTTTTAATATGGATTGAAGCTCAGTATCAAGAAAACAAAGATTCGCACCATTGGGCCAATTGGCAGCATCAGTATGGATGGTGAAGAGGTTGAGATAGTTACCAGTTTTTGTTGACTCACATTCTTGGTACCAGAAGCCAGGAAATCAAGAGATGAATTGTATTGGGAAACCCAGCTGTCAGGGACCTCTCCAGAGTAGTGAAGAGTAATGACATCAGGCTGGAGACTAAGGTGCACCTAATCTGGGCCATAGTCTTCACAATTGTGTGCTGTGCATCAGAGAGTTGGACAGTGACTAGAGATGACTGAAAGAGAATTGATGCCTTTGAGCTGTGATGCTGCAGAAGAGTGTTAAATATACCATGGACTGCTAGGAGAACAAACAAGTTTGTCCTGGAGAGGGTAAAACGGGGCTGCTCCTTGGAGGCAAGGATTCTGAAGCTTCGTCTGACATACTTTGGACATGTTACAAGGACGGAACAGTCCTAAGAGAGGATCACGTTTAGGAGAGTGGAGGGACAGCACAGGAGAGAAAGACCCTCGAGATGGATCGATTCAATGATTGGGGTAATGGGAGTAGGCGTGTCAGAGACAGTGAGGTTGACACAGGATAGAATAGGGTGTAGGGCTCTTGTACATAGGGTCATTATGAGTCGCTTGATAACACATAACAACAACATTTAATTGTGCTTATTTAAAATCTGTACCTAGAGAAAGAAGCTGTTGTTTGAGCAAGGGAACAATGGGTAGTTTAAAATAAAGGAAGGGTGTGTCAAGAATATATCCTTTTTCAATACCTAGTCAGTCTGTATGCTGAAAAAAATGATACTGGACTCTATAAAGAGGTATGTGGCATCAGGACCAGAGGAAGACTCATCTACCGTCTGCATTATGCAAATAATATAACCTTGCTCGCTCAAAGTGAAGAGGACTTGAAATGCTTGCTGTAGAGGATCAAAGACTTTGGTATAGATTACATCTCAACATCAAGCTAACAAAGGTCCTCACCACTGGACCAATAGGCGACATCATGATAGATGGAGAAAAGATAGAAGTTGTCAGTGATTTCATTGATCAACAGTCAATACTCTTGGTACCAGTTGTCAGAAGTTAGAGACTATTTCATTGAGCAAATCTGTTGTCAGGGACAGCTCTATAATACTGAAGAGCAATGATGTCAGTTTAAAGACCAAGGAGTGCCTGATTCAGGCCTTGGGCTTTTCAATCAGTTGCTACACATCTGACTGTTGAATAAGGACAACTGAGGAATTGATGCCTTTGGGTTGTGCGTTGGAGAAGAGTACTGAATATGGCATGGACTGCCAAAACAACCAACAAGTTGCTTTTGGAAAAAGTGCAGCCAGAGTCCTCCATAAAGGCAAAAATGACAAGGCTTCATCAGTCATACTTTGGACATATTGCTAGGAGAGGCTTTTCCTTGGAAAAGGATATATTGCTTGGAAAGGTAGAGGGTCAGTGACAGAAAAATATTCCCCACCAGATAGATTGCCCTGGTGACTGCAGCAGTGCACTCAAGTGAGTCAGGGATGATGAGGATGGCAGAGGCTAGAACAGGGGACAGGGGTGTTGCTCATGGGGTCACTATGAGTTGTACTTGACTCAATGACACCTGACAAGAATAGCAACAATAATTACTTCATAATGGTACTGGTCTGTTAATTTTTTTTAATAATACTTTTTAAAAGCTATGTTTTTAAGAAAATAAAATAATCTGTTTAACTTTGAGGAGTGGCAGTGGAATGGCAGCGGAGAGTTTTGGCTCTGGCTACAGTTATCATAGGAGTGCTGGCAGCACTTTTTTGTCTTTGTGTAGGTGGTTCAAACCCTCCAAGTTCTCCCTACGGGCAAAGATGTGGCAATCTGCTTCTGTAAATATTGCAGCTTTGGAAGCACTCTGGGGTAATGCTGCTATTTCCTGTAGGGTTTATCCTATGAGTTGCATTTGTCTCCTTGTAAACAGGACCTAAATAAATTCTTTGACAGTCTTCCTGAGCGATTTGCATATAAATCTTTGTTTGTTTACTGAGTAATTTATTTGCATCCAAATGGATTTATGTTATTGATTTTACATTTTAATTTGTAAATGTACTTTATTATTTGCTCAGTGTGGACCAGTTTTAGCTGACTCTTGGGTATTTCCTGCCTCAGTCCTAGAATCAGCCATTAGCTGTGTCTCTAAAGAGTGCTGGATTGCTTTGATTGGAGAATAATGTTAGAAACCAAGATATAAGTACTATGAGCACTCATTGCTATTGAGATATCCGTTGCTAATAGACCCTCTTCACCAGCAGTACAAGGCTGTATATATGTATATTAGTCCATGTATGTATATCATCTAAAGTATTTTTTTTATGTAACCATCTTTACCTGTCTTAAGCTAAATATGATTTCCTACTGATATCCTCAACTGTAATACTTTGCCATGTGGATCATGCTAGCATATTCCTACTCATCTTTCACCTCTGTGAAAATGATGGCAGAGGCATCTGACCTCCGCTAGTATCATAAGCAGGAGAGAGAAACATCAACAGAAAGCTGATTCCTATTAAGAGGAAATCAGATCCGCCTTCACTCTCCCATCTTATACCATCTGTCTCTCCAGTGGCACTCTGGACTTCCCCCTAGGTTTGATTATTCATTGCAATGGCTACCTGGGACTCAAAAACACCTTATTTGCTTAGTCCTAACCAGTCATTCTGAGGGAGTTGGAAGACCATGGTTGGAAAGGTCACAGGAAAACAATGTATTACATCACGACCTCACTCCTACATCTCTTTAATTGTTCAATTCCAGTATGCAAGTATAGGGTGTTTCAAAAGTTATCTAGTACCTTTTATTTTTAATAAATTTTTTTATTCTGTGATTTTAAGAAAAGTTTACAGAAAAGTTAGATTTTCATTTATTTATTGTTGCACATTTAACCCCCTCTCCTTCACTTCCTCCTCCCCCAGTTCACTTTTTAAAATTTTTTTTTTTATCTCTCACTCAGTTTCGGGAACTGGAACCACTCCTCTGTCATAGTGAACATTCCTCTCAGCTCATCTGGACGTCTTCTCGCAGTGCAAACAAATCTAATTTCAGCCTTGAGGACTTTCAGCACAGAAAAGGCCAGGAACCGTACAGCTCTTCCAAATATGCCACTGACCTGTTGAGTGTGGCTTTGAATAGGAACTTCAACCAACGGGTAAGTCCTGTCCTAGTGATGTGGAAATTTCAGAGCTGTAGTTTCTATGATTTCCTAACAGCATGGCTAGCCTCAGTAGCTACCAGCTATTGAAGTTTTGTGCTCTGCTATACATAGGGTTTTCGAAGGCCTGTTATATTTCGGAAGTAGATGGCCAATCCTTTTTCCTAGTCTGTCTTAATTTAGATGCTTAGCGTTAAAACAATATCTGACAGAAAAGCATTTTTACCTAGTAGATGAAAGACACTTCCCTTACAGAAATAACCAGTACATTCACTGTCTCCCCCACCACCAATCACATGTGTCTTATCTCTTCCCTTTCCCTGCTATATCCTCATTCCTTACATACCTGGCTACCTGGTCAAACCCTCCCTTCCCCAAGCCACCTCTTAATATGATCACAAGTCACTTATGTAATGCCTTGCTCCACACACTACTACTGGTCTCTCATCCTGTTTTCTATCTCTGTGTCAGTCTAGAGACAAAGGTGCACCTACCAGGCCATGGTTTTCTCAATTACTTGTTATGCTTCAGAGAGCTAGACAGTGACTAAAGATGACAGAAGAAGAATAGGTGTCTTCGAGTCGTGGAGCAAGAAGAATAGGTGTCTTCGAGTCGTGGAGCTGCAGAAGAGTCTTGAACATAGCATGAACTGCCAAGAAAACAAATTGGTCCATCTTAGAGAGGGTGAAACCAGGTCTTTCCTTGGCGGCTAGTATTTTGAAGCTCCGTCTCACTTACTTTGGGCATGTGGCTGGGAGAGACCAGTCCTTAGAGCAGGACATCATGCTCAGAAGAGTGGAGGTTCAGGAGGAGAGGGAGACCTTGGACGAGATGGATTGATACAATATCTGGTGCAATGGGGGTTGTTGTGTTGGAATTAGTGAGACTGGCTCAGGACAGGGAAGAGCTGTACATAGGGTCATTATATATCACAGGCAACTCAACAGCATATAACACCATCAGACTATATTGTTTGTTTGTTTGTTTTTAATTTAAGCCCCTTGTTTAGAGTCAACAAGATCTTGTGGAGGGCCTTTATGTAACAACCTACTTTTAAATATAAAGGAATATTCTTCTAAGTGGTACAGCATTCTTCTGTCAATTTGCTGTACTGAGGTAACCTGGGGTTGCTGTGATGCTGAACCTTGTGCCATTGGGGTGTCAAATGCAAGACTAGTTACCCATGGTGGACAGTGTTTGGTTGAGCTCCCAGTTTAAGACAGGTTTGGAAGCGGGAGTTATATCCACTTCCTAAACAACATGCCTCTGGAAACTCTATGAACTTTGAGAAACGATGATAGTTATAGAAAAGTTTTAGGTCTTTTGTTCATAGGGTCACTATGAGTTGTGCTCAGCATGACAGCAACAACAATGAAGTTTACAGTGTGCAATTTTTTCTTGAATGGGATTCCTGTGACGTCAAAATAAAATATAAATGGGATTAACAGATTGGTGTATGGAAATTTTAGTGCAGCATGATTATCTTCTAACCTTTTGTGTAGTTCCTTTACTATTCTGTGACTCTTCAGAAGTCATAAATTATGCAATAGAGTGACACTAATATCAATAACAATAGCTACTAATTAACTATCTACTATGTTTCAAGTTCTATATGCCATTTAACACCTCTCCATAACACCTGGAGGTAAATCTGTGTCTTCATTTTCAGATGAAGACAGTGAATAAAGTTCAGAGATGTTAATTTGCTCAAGGCCACATAGTCTAAACTGTAGAGTTCAGAGTTGAGTCTGTTTTCTGTAAAAACTGTGAACATGAGGGTTGAAGTGTTTAGTCTCCTCTTCTCTTTATAAGGAAAAGAATCTCCATCAACAGCATCAATACCAGTCCAAAGCCAGATCTTACAGGTTGGTACAAGAGAAGGAGACCCTGAATGAGATGTTTTGACACAGTGAATATGGCAATAGGGTCAAATGGGTCAGAGATTGTAAGATTGGCTCAGGGTAGGGCAGGGTTCAGAGTTGTTCATTGGGTAGCTGTGAGTTTTAGTCACACATAACAATAACCATATTTAGGTCAGAGAGAAATAGGGAATGACTGAGAAATACTCTCTTTGGTCTTGAATTAGCCATTGAAATCTAAACTTTATCAATGATCCAGACCTAGTTTATTCTAGAGTGGAGATATTTATCAGTTGCAACAGTCTGGCTCTTGGAATCATGCTTCTGAAAACAGGGAGGGATAAAAAAATAGAAACTAAGGATAGAGCCTTTAGAGCTTGCCTTGAATCCTGGCACATTGTTTCATGTCTCTGTGCCTCTGTTTTCTTATTTGAAAGATAAAGATATTAGTATTGCTTCATGCTAAGAATGTGCATGTGTGTATGTATTTGAGTGTGTGAGCGTGAATGTGTAAGTTTGTGTGCCTGCATACATCTGCGGGTTTGCATAGACATGAGAAAATGTGTGGGGTTTGTGGGTATGTGAATGTATGCATATATAAATTACTGTATATACCGTATGTGTGTTGGTATGTGTGCATATAGAGTATGTGTGTGCGCGTGCGCATGCTTATTAGCAATTATTACTAGAGCTTAAGCTCAGTTGATTGAGCCTCATTCTGAAGGTTTTTTTCAGATGTCTATAACCTTGTATAATTCATTTCTGGTATTCTGGAAACTCCCTTTGACTGGATAAAGTCAGAGTAGATTAGCTTCTCTTTTCACGTTAAAAAAAAAGCTCTGTGTTTTAATTAAGGCTCAGTTGCCAAATGAGGTTCAGGATTTTATCTTTTATGGAAAACAGGGGTTTAATTATTTCTCTATGTTGTTGTTAGGTGATATCAAGTTGAGTATGCCTCATAGTGACCCTATAAACAGCTGATCTGAACTTTGTTTTATCCTGTGCCATCCGCATCATTTCTGACACACTCATACCCATTGCAGTAGTCATTGTGTTATTCCATCTGCTTGAGGGTTTCCTATCTTTCGCTGACTCTCCACCTTTCCAAGAATGATGTCCTTCTCCTAACAACTTGCCTAAAATATGTGAGATGAAGCTTTACCAGCTTTGCCTCCAAGGAACACTCTGGCTACACTTTTTCCCAAAGACATATCTGTTTGTTCTCTTGGCAGTCCATGGGATATGGAATGTTCAATACTCTTCTCCAACACCACAGCTCAAAGACATCAGTTCTTCTATTATCATCCTTACTCATTTTCTATCTCTCAGATACATAGAAAGTAATTGAAAAGACATCGCCTGGGCTCTGTTATAGTTCTCCACTTATGGTTTCTTTGTAAAGAAAGCAGAAACCAGGAGAGACCAACAGGAGGAGATTCCTTTTGAAGCCTCATATTACAAGAAATGTCATGTTCTCTCTAGCCTAGTTGGTGGATTTTAGCTAGAAATACGCAGGGACACCCGATTATTCCCTATAACTAAATCTGTGGCAGAATTGCAGCCTTGAATAAGATTGTCTTTGTGTTTAATTTGCTTGTTCATTGTCTTAAAGTTGTATATGGTAGAACTCTTACATTTTAGTTCACAGATTTCCTTCATTAGGACTGAATAATCCCCAGAATAAGAAATTTTCCTCAAATACCTTTGGAGTAAAATATTAGTTTTTTTGGAAGGAGATTTAGATCTGTATTGATAAAGAGTTTGGGCTCTTGAGTTTTTAGAGGACTCTTGACAAATCATGGTATCCTCAGAGATTGGGTGGTCTGTGTTGGGCATCTCCCAGCCGATGGAGTGCTGAAGAAAGAAAGAAAGAATATCTGCTTCTTTTACTAGAGACGCTGCCTGTCCTTTGACTATATTACAATTCTACTTCTTAATTTCTTTTTTTAAAATGAAAAAAATAATAAGATTAAGGGCAATATGAGTTAAAATAATAGTAAAAAATTAAACTAAGTAATTTAATAAAGCAAATCTTTGTAGTTTAGAGACTACCAAAGAACTCATGGCCTTTTTTATTAGAATAAAAAATTTATGTTAACTGGCTTTTTGTCTATAAGACAGAACAATCTAAAAGGATAAATCCAGCTCTTTGTGCCTCTCTGATGCCTAGAGCTTCAGGGAAAAAGACAGATGCCTTAGGTTTTGATGGCAAGGACTGTACTATGTACATCTTAAGTGTTCATTCTTGATAAATTGATCTCTAATTTAGCTGATTCCTTGGAAAATCAAAAGTAAATGGGGCTCTACTTTTCTGTTGTAGCTTCAAGCTTCATTGTTCATGCTGTTCATATGGCAAGCTTCTCAACAGCAGAGCGTTTGTTTTACTAATAATTGTTATATTTAGTTCTTAGTATATGATTCAAAATTGATCTACCTGGCTTTATAGATAATTCAAAGTATAAATATTTTATCTCCTAGCTCCCTGGCTCATTTTTCTATTTCATTTGTCAACTATAGCTAGGACTGGGTCAGTATGCATTGAGGGTGAAATTAATTGCTACTTCTTTCTGTCCTCTCAGGGTCTGTATTCCAGTGTGGTGTGTCCAGGTACAATGTTGACCAATTTAACATATGGAATTCTACCTCCCTTTGTATGGACACTGCTGATACCAATCATATGGCTGGTAATTAATGGATATTTCTTTTTAAAAATTTATTTAATCTATCTATTCGGGAACTAAAAAAGATACATTTAAGAGTATTATGAATTTACTCTACCATGTGTATATTGATTGATTATACTGTGGTAGCTTGCCCATTGCTGTGATCCTAGAAGCTATTCCACCAGTAATTCAGATAGCAGTAAGGTAACCCATAATGGATGGTTTCAGTAGCTTCCAGACTAGGAGGAATGACCAGATGATGTATTTCTAAAACAACTGATCAGTGAAAGTCTGTACAATCTCCCCAGCCTCTAACCAACTGCTGATCAAAAAAGCCTACCTTCCAGGTCCAAAATGCTTTAAATAAGAGGTTCCCAGGCCCCAACAGACTGTTGAAGACCTGCCTTCTGGGTCTCAACCACTTTAAATAAGAGGCTTCTAGTCCCTAACTGATGCTGCTGAAGAAAGGCCTACCTTCTGCGTACCAACTGCTTTTAAAAAAGGGACTCCAAGCCTCTAGCCAACTAGGAAAAGTTCCTAGGTGGTCTGTAGATATGTTTGAGGGTAGCTGACAGGATTTGCTGTCATCTAGATGAACTAGACATCAGATATGAAAGGAGTCAAGAATGGCCTCAAGAGTTTTGAGTTGAGTAATTTGAAGCATGGGGTTTACTAGAATGGAAGACTGAGAGAATGAGGATTTTTAGAGAATTTACATTTTAGCCACTATTATTCTGATTCCTTATGTATTGCTACTACTGAAGTTTACCTTTTTCCCCTAAAAATATTTCTGATAGTCTGTTTTTCTCTCCAGATGAAGTAGGAAATAAGAGAGAACAAGACATAAATACTTTTTATTAAAAAGTTTATCATCTTTATGGGAGATAAAAGTTCATAAATAATTATGTTATGTATCTGATGGTATTAGAGATGCAATAAAGAGATCAGAAACAGACCATCAGTTATTCATGTGCAAGTTCAAATTGAGACCAAAGAAAATTTTAAAAAGTCCATAACTATTGAACACCAGTGATCAAAGATCATCTGAATTGTGGGATGACATCAAGGATATCATTCATGAAGAGAATAAAAGGTCATTACAAAGACTGAGGAGAAAGAAAAAACTGAAATGGAAGTCAGAAGAGACTCTGACAGTCACATTAGAGCATTGTAAAGCCAAAACTGAGGGAAAGATTGTGAAGTAAAAGAGCTAAATAGAATATGTCAAAGGCCAGTTCAAGAAGACAAAACAAAATATTATAATGGAATGTTCAGAGAGCTGGAATTGGAGAATTAAGATAGAGGAACTCTCTCTGTACTTTTCAAGCTGAGGGAACTTAAAAACAAATTTAAACCTTGACTCACAATATTGAAGGATGCTTTGGGCAATATGTTGAATAATCCAGGAAGCATTAAAAGAAGATGGAGGGAATACACAAGAGTCAGTGTATCAAAAATAATTGACTGACACGGAAAAATTGTAGGAAATGCCATATGAACAAGAGTCAATGATAATGAAGGAAGAAGGTGAAGTTGCTCTGAAAGCATTGGGAAAAAATAAGGACCTAGGAATTGATGGGATATAGATTGATGTTTTTCAACTAACAGCTGCATCCCTGGATGTGCTCACCAGTCTATGCCAGGAATTTTGGAGGACAGCTGTCTGGCTGACTGACTAAAAGAGAGCCATATCTGTTTCCATTCCCAAGAAAGGTGGTTCAATAGAATATGGACACTATTGAACAGTATCATTAATATCACAAGGAAGCAAAATCTTGTTGAAAATCATTGAAAAATGGCTAAATCAGTACATAGATAGGGAAGTACTACAAGTTCAAGCAGGATTTAGAAGAGGCTATGGCACCAGGAATGTCATTGTTGATATCAGATGGATCCTGGCTGAAAATGAAGAATACCAGAAGAATGTCTGTTTATGCTTTTTGACTATGCAAAGGCATTTGACTGTGTGGAACATTGAGAAAAATGGGAATCCCAGAACACTTAATTGTGCTCATGTGAAACCTATACTTAGACCAGGAGGCTGTTGTGCAAACAGAGCATGGGAATACTACATGGCTTAAAATTAAGAAAGATATATGTCAGGATTATAGCAACAACAACAGGGTTGTATCTTTTCTCCATACCTATTCAATCTGTAAGCTGAGCAAATTATTTGAGAAGCTGAACTCTATGAAGAATGTGGCCTCAAGATCAGGGGAAGACTTCAATAACCTGCATTATGCAGATGAGACAACCTTTCTTAAAGTGAGAAAGAGTTGAAGTACTTGTTGCAGAAGATCGAAGAATATACTTCACTATGGAAAAGCCTTCACTATGGATTACAACTCAATGCTAAGAAATAAAAAATTCTTACCACTGGACTGACAAGCAACATCATGATAGATGGAGAAAAGCTTGAAGTTGTCAACTATTTCATCTTACTTGGATCCACAGTCCCTAGATACCAACAGTCAGGAGACCAGGAGACATGAGGATTAATGACGTCAGTTTGAGAACTAAGGGGAGTTTGTTTCAGGCAGTGGTCCTTCTGATAACTTGCTATGCATCTCAGAGGTGGACAGTGAGTAAGGATGACAGAAGAAGAATTGATGCCTTTGAGCTGTGGTGTTGGAGAAGAGTACTGTAGATCCCATGGATGACCAAAAGAACAAGTACAGCCATAGTGCTCCTTGGAGTCAAGGATGATAAAGCTTAGTCTCACATATTTTGGGCATGTTGCTAGGAGTGGTTGTTGCTTGGAGAGGGACATCATTCTTGGAAAGGCGGAGGGGCTGGTGAAAGAGAGGAAGACCCTCCACCAGATAGATTGACAGTGACTTCTGCAATGGGCTCTAGTATGGCGGAAGGTGTGAGGATGGCACAGGATAAGACAGGTTTAGAGCTATTGTTCATAGGGTTGCTGTGGGTCATACTTGACTGAATGGCACTTAACAACAACTGAAAGTCTTATGAATGACAGCAGAACATTGTCTGATAGAATGTCAGAAGATGAGCCCCTCAGGTTGGAATGCATTCCAAATACCACCCTGGAAGAGTTGTCTGTTCAGAGTCTAGTTGAACCACATGACATGGATTGAGTAAATTTTCAGGACTTTCATCTTCTGATGTGGCATCGAATTGAGAAGAAACAGCTACAAATATTCACTAATAATTGGAATTTAGAATATACGAAGTATAAATTTAGGAAAATTGAAAGTTTTCAAAAGTGAAACTAAACTCTTAACGATTTATATTGTAGACATTTAGTGAGCTTTTCATGAACTGACACTGTTGGCCATTTTCAATCCCATGGTCTACGATGCCAGGAATGAAAAATTGAAGAAGGATGGCATCACATTCATTGTTAAAAAGACCATTTCAGATCTCTTCTGAAGTACAATGTTGTCAAGGATAGGATAATATCTATAATACTTATGAAGAAGGTCAATTGATATTATTATTCAGATTTATACACTAATTACTAATGCCAAAGATAATAAAATTGATTTTTTAATTGTAACTTTATTTTATTTCTTAATATATTCCATGAATGCAGTACTCTGCAAAGAAACTAAAAGAGAAGAAGCTATAAACTATTGTCAGGATTTTTGTTTAAAATTTCTCATCCATTTAAATAAAGTTATGACCTTTCAACTTAAAAAAAATCATATGAAAATAAAGAATATTGAATTATTTTTTCCAACTATAAAATGATAATATTAATGTCTACCTTGAAAGTAATTACAGAGTGAGATGTTACATATAAAATTTCCTTCTGTGTCTTGGGTCTATAGTCAAGTCCTCATGAAGTATCCATCATTAACTTCTGTTCTGTGGACATTTGGAATTTTTTAATGAGTCTTTTTTGTTGGATAGTTGGCTGTTTATTGGTTCTAATTCCTCTTGGCTTATCTATTTCTATAATTATTTATATGTTTGAGGCTACTATTTTGGCATTGCATATTGTGTAGTAAATATATGAAGGAAAAGAAGTGAAAAAATAAAAAGAAAAGGGGGTTTGACTTTACATAGAGCAATGTAGGAAGGCCTACCCAAGAGTGAATGAATTTGGACAGAGACCTCAGTGCCCTGAAGGAAAGAGAAAATACATTTAGGAGGCTAACATAGTGATACAAATAAGAGAGGAAAGGAGAACACCTGTAAAGTCCAACAATAAATTGATTTTTTACCAACTAACTTCTGCAGTTTGAAACTTCAGATATGCGATCAAGATGCATTGCAAATTGCTGGTAAATGTTGGAAAGTTGGAAGCGAAGGATTGGTGGTTGGAAAATGTAGTGTTGGTCATAGCAATGACAGTGGAGATTGTTTGCTAGAATTTTGCAAGACCAATGACTTAGTCATTACAAATGTCTTCTTTGCAAAAACATATACAGCAACTTTACACTTGAAACTCACCAGATGGAATAGACAAAAATTGGATAGACTCTGTGGAAAGAACCAAGTTCATCAGTTAAAACAAGTCAAGGACAAACTGTGGAACAGACCATCGATTACTTACATACAAATTCAAGTTGACACTGAAAGGAAATGTAAATAAGTACATGAGAGCCAAACTATAAACTTGAGTATATGCCGTCTGAATTTAGAGACTATTTCAAGCATAGATTTGACATAGTGAACGCTAAAGACACATTTGGCACATTGACCTCAAATGATCAGATGAGTTGTGAGAAGATAGCAATGATACTGTACATAAAGAAAGCAAAATGTCACTAAAAATACAGGAAAAAAACCCAAAAGATCAGAAAAGATGTCAGAAGAGACTCTGGAACTTAATCTTCAACTTAGAGTAGTAAAAAATGAGAGAGTTAATAAAATGAACAGAAGATTTTAAAAGGAGGAACATTTAAAGTATTTTAGTGACATGTGTAGAGACTTGGAGTTAGAGAAAATCAGAGAGAAAAAGAATTTGCTCAGCATTTGTTAAACTGAAAGAACTGATGAAAAAATTCAAACCTTGATTTGTAATGAATTATTCCATATTAAATGATTCGGGACACATGAAAAGAAGATTATACACAGAATTACTGTACCAAAAAGAAATTATCAACAGCCTTTCATTTAAGGATGTAAAATAAGATCAAGAACTGATGATCTTAAAAGAGGAAGCTCCAAACAACACCAAGGACTGTAAAAAAAAAAAATCACACTCCAAGAATTGATGGAATACAAATAGAGATGTGTTTCTGCAAACAAATCCAGCTCTGGAAGTGCTCACCTGTCCATGTTAGGAAAATCAGAAGACAAGTTACCTGGTTAAACAACTGGAAGAGTTCTGTATTTGTGCTTTTTATAAAGAAAGGTGGTCTAACAGAGGGCTAATGAGAGAACATTAATGTCTTAAGTCAGTCTCTTCTGAGATATACAAGAGTTTATATGAGCAAGCAAAAGCAGCAGAGATGGAGAAAGACACCATGCCACATGAAGATCACCAGAAGGCCAAAGAAAAGAAGAGAAGCAATAAAGACCCTACCCTAGAGTTGGCAGAAAGAATTAGCTAGCTTCCCAATAGAGTTAGTGCCCTGAATTCAGACTCCCAGCCCCCTAAACTGTGAGGAAATTGGTTTGTTTGCTAAAGACACCCACTTGGGGTATTTATAAATAGCAACACTAGAACACAAAAAGTTATGAATTGACGGAAGGAATTGAACCTGAAATTAGCAGAATTACATTTAAGTTGGGATTTAAAAATTTACTTAATCTGCAACAACTGCTTCTACTGCCCAGGACTCCCTCTTAATCACCATCCAGATATCCTTTTTTTCTTTGAGGGGATGCTTCTTCATCACCAGCTATAGGTTCCATGGGATCTGATATCATATAATATTGGGAAGCCTGTATTAAGCTGTGTTAAACTATTCTGTTTAGGGTTTCATTGTGCTACTGTGCATTAGACACAATGCCTAATGATTGTACAAGAAGGGGAGAGAATGATTGTATGCTATATGAGCATATAGCCATGCTTTGATTTGTTTTTTATGAGCCTCTTGCACAACTAATTCTTGCACAACTAATGTTATTTCATTACACTCTAGAAAATGTTACTTTTTAGGATAAATGCCTCTGCCTTGAAGAACTCAAGAGCAGATGGCTTTCTCTTCATTCTTTAGTAGTATCTTTTCTGTATGAAAAGCAGAGAAAAGCTATCCTAAGGAAAAACAATATGCTTTCATTTTAATAGTGTTTGACTTGGGATTGTGGGGATTAAGTGTTGTCTCTTTTTTAGACATCTTTAATTTGATACTTAAGAGAATTTAATAATCAGAAAGGCAGGCTTTCATTATTTAAATTAATAATGCTTTTGTGGCTATGTTCTAAACTCCATAGGTTCTTCTAAGTGCCTGTCCAATGATTATTGTTCTGTTTTCCTCAGCTTCGCTTTTTCACACATGCTTTCACTTTGACGCCATACAATGGAACAGAAGCACTGGTAAGTTACTAGAATTTCCATGGCTTTTACAGAGGCTTTACAGATGGCAGAAACAGTTCAAATAGAAAAGATAATAACAGAGTAAACTCTGGGAATATTCACGGTCCTCTTTAGAACCAAGCTGGGCTATCAGCTATATGCAAAGCATTAACAATGAAGTTTAGCATCCCCATGGTGGCACTAGATTTTGAGTCATCGTATTGGAGAAATGAGTATCTCACACACTGCCAAAAGGACATATACGTCAGTCTTGGAAAAGATACAATCACGGTATTCCTGGAAGTCAAGGATGATGAATCTTTGTCTCATACACTTTGGGCATGTTGTTAGGATGGGCCATTCCTTGGAAAAGGACATCATGCTTAAAAAGATGGAAGGTCAGAGAAGGAGGGGAAGACCTTTAATGACATGGATCGACACAGTGACTGTAACAATGGGCTTGCGTGTGTCAGAGATGGTGAGGATGGCACAGGATAGGGCAGGATTTAGATCCACTGTTTACAGGGTTGCTGTGAGTTATAGTTGACTGGAGAGGACTTAATAATACCATGACACTAGATATGATCATTGTAGGGAATACACTTCTGTACAAGCAAGATACCCCAGCAGATAGAAGATGGACAGAGTAGTAAGATAGTAGTAAGGAGAAGGGTAGGCAAAGCCCTCTGATGGGAAGGCAATCAGTGAGTGGTTCCCCATACAGAAATATGATTTGTGGAACAAGAATTTTAAAAAAGAACAAAACGTATTGCTGTCAAATCAATCCAGATTCATGGCTATTTGACATGTTACAGCCTATAATTACACTCCACTGGGGTTTTTTTTGGCTATAATATTTTTTTAATTATTATTTTATTAGTGTGTGTGTGTGTGTGTGTGTACCGTCAAATCGGATCTGACTGGTACAGGAGGAGATTGTCCCTCCTTTCCCGGCAGAGCATCTGGTGGATTTGAACCGTGCGCCTCTGGGATTGCAGTGCAGCTTCTTGCCACTAGGCCACCAGAGCTCCCCTTTTGGCTATAATCTTTACAAAAGCATATTTATTGTTATACATAAAGCATTTTTTGGCTATAGTCTTTACAAAAGCATATCTTTTTCTGTACTACAACTGGGTGAGTTTGAACTATCAATCTTTATGTTAGTAGCCACTTGCAGACTTCTTGTGCCACACAAAAATGGACACACACAAATTCAGTTCTCACTTCTCTATATGAATATTCTCTTTCCTCTGTTATTAGGAAAACCCACTGCTATTGAATTTTTTTGGATGCATACTGGCCCTAAAGTATTCCCACAGAGTGGCTGGTGGATTTGAGCTGGCAGCCTTTTTGACACAATCCCATTAGAGTTCTTTCTGTTAATATTGTTGTTGTGTGCCATCAAGTCAGAACTGACCCCTAGCTGACTTTCTGGTGGGTTTCCAGAGACAGTTAATCACATGAGAGGAGATTGTCCATTCTTCTCCCTCAGAGCAGCTGGTGGATTAGAACCATGTGCCATCAGGATTGCAGCACAGCTTCTTGCCACTAGGCCACCAGTGCTCCCTTCTGTTAACGTTAGAGGGTTAAACTCTTAACTTAATAGGAGACCAGTGGCTCTCTGAACCACCCATGATGGATCAGTTGTATGTTTCCTCATCAGTGACAGACATTACTAATGGATCATAGTGTTCTTTTCTGGTATACTCAGGTAATGTCTTTGAATATTTTTGAACAGAGGAATGAGAATATTCATAGAGGGAAGTGAAACTGGACTTTGCAGCTCCTGCTTTGTGTCCCTTTTAAGAGCACAATCTTCAAAGTGCTTTAGTTGTTGATGTCGTATCATTTATCTAGTGCTGCTATAAAAGAAATAACACAAGCGTGTGGCTTTAACAAGAGAGATTTGTTTTCTTACCATTTAGGAGGCCAGAAGTCTGCATTGGCTCAAGATTCATGATCTACACTAATCGTTTCTCATTGACATATTGAATATTTCAGCATTAAACAATTGTTGTTGTTGTTATGTGCCGTCAAGTATTAAACAATTATAGAAAATTATCTTAGTAAGAACAATGTAATTCTGGTATATGAATTGACTGACTGATAGAACAGACATCTAGAAATAATCCCACAACTCTTAGGAATTTGGTATATAATAAAGGTGGTATTCCAAGTCTCTGAGGAAAAGATGGGTTTGTTTACCATATAGTGTTACAGTAAGATGACATCATTTCTCTTCATGATTTAAACCAAAGTAAAGTCCAAAGGAATGAAAAGAATTATTTATATGAATTAAAATGTAAAAGACTAGGAGAAAATACGGAGACATTTTTAAATAGTTTCAGAATGGGGAGGCTTATTTAGTTAGAAATTTTGAAAAAAAAATTGCATTACCAGACTTTACTGTAGATATAATCTGAAGACTAGGTACAAAGTGGGAGAAAATTACTTGCCACTCATAACCTAGGCCAAGGGTTTATTACTACTGTAACAATGGGCTCAAGTATGCAGAGGATGTTTAGGATGGCACAGTATATGGTAAAGTTCAGCTCTGTTGTTCACTGTGTCACTATGAGTCAAAGTTGGCTCAGTAGCACCTAACAATGAGTTTCAAGAAATCCGTGGAAAAGCACCCCATTAGAATGATGAGTTTTTACCCATCTGTATAAACAGAGCAGTCTTACACTTGTCTTTGCCATATGAAAAGCTACTCAACTTCATTCACAAGAAACATGCATCTTAAAGTTACAATTAAAGAAGGTCTTTTTCAACTCTAAGCAGCAAAGATTAGAAACTTTGAAAATATGCTGTATTGATGAGAAATGGGGAAAGGAACACTCTTACCTTTCTGGAGGAGAATAAATTGCTCTCTCTCTCATTGCCGTGATGTTGGAACTAATTCATAGTTGAACCTCCAGGGGCTTCTGAGGCTGTAAATCACAGGGAAGGAGATTGCCCCTGTTTTGCCCTCAGAGCTCCCGGTGGATTTGAACTGCCAGAGAGGAGCCACCTTTGGGTTACCCGCACAACCTCCTACAATCTAGGCCTGTGGGGCTCCCTTAAGTTAATATATCTTCTGTCAGAGACTGTTAGGCAAGATCAGTTTCAATTGTAAGTGCTTATACTCTGTAACCTAGAAATGCCATATTTGGCATTTATCTTAAAGAGGTCCTCACACATATTTGAAAAGATGCATTCATCATTCATTGCAGCATGATTAATAGCAAAGACTAGCTGCAATCTATGTGTGCATTTACTGGAAACAACTTATATAAATTTTAATACATCCGTAAGTGGAAATATCATAGGTATTTGTAACAAGGAAACAGCTGTGTGTATATATTGATATTGAAAATTACCGAGGCACAATGTTTAACTGAACAATGAAGAATAATAGGTGGGATGGTGTATATATTATGCTTCCATCTGATCTAGAGAAAAGATATTTTTCCCCCTTTTTTATTAATTTTAATGAAAGTTTACAGAGACTTAGGGAAAAGAATTTTTATGTTTTTAAGTGAATATATTTTATTTGGAAGGATGCACTGGATACTAGTAAGCGTAATTGTATAAAAAGAGTGGAGGGCTGTGTGTATACCTGACCCCTGCTAACTCCTCAAAGGGATGTAATCCCCATCTCTATTACTGGGTCCACAATCTGTTGCCGTGAACACAGATGTCACATTTACATTATAAACTCACAGAACTCACAATTATGGGGCTTAGTAAGGAAGTTCACAGATTATAATGAAAATTGGCAGTTCCTCAGTCAGGACAGCTTCTCAGGCCCCTACTACCTTCAGCCTGTGGTTTTAGGCCAGTGTTAAAAACCTCTATCGTTGTGTACCACGAGGTTGGAACTAATCTAAGCTGACCCACAAGCAGCTTCTCAGAGGCAGTTAATTGCACAAAGCTCTGTTGTTGTTGTATGTGCTGTCAAGTCAGCTATGACTCACACTAACCCTATGAACAATGGCTCTGAACTTGAGCCAACCTCACCATCTCAGACACACCCAACCCCATTGCCACATTCACTGTGTCAATCCATCTTATCCAGGGTCTTGCTCTTCTGTGCTGATTTTCTACCCTTCTAAGCATGATGTTCTTTCTCCAAGGACTGGTCCCTCCTGGCGCTATGTTCAAAATATGGGAAACAAAGCTCTAAAATCCTTATTCAAAGGTGCAAACTGGTTTCACCCGCTCTCCAGGACAGAACTGTTTGTTCTTGGTATGTTCAGTACTCTTCTTCAGCACCACGACTCTAAAGGCATCGATGAGTCTCATTCACTGTCTAGCTCTCAGATGAATATCAAGCAATTGAAATGACCATGGCCTAAATTAGGCACCCCATAGCCTCAAAATTGACATTGTTGTTCTTTTGTACTCTGGAGGGAGCCTTGACAACAGATTTCCCCAGTGCAGTGCATCTTTTGATATCCTGACAGCTGGTGCCAAGAATGTTGACTGTGGACCCAAGCAAGATGAAATCATTACCAACCTCAATCCTTTCTCCATCTATCTTGATACTGCCTATTGGCCCAGTGGTAAGGATTTTTGTTTTCTTGCTGTTGAGATGCAATCCATATTGAAGACTGCAGTCTTTGGTCTTCTGCAGCAAATGCTTCAAGTTCTCCTCAGTTTCAGCAAGCAAGGTTGTATCATCTGCATAACGAAGGTTATTCATGTGTTTTCCTCCAATCCTAAATCTGTATTCCTCTTCTTAAAGTCCAACTTCCTGAATGCTCTGTCCCACATATAGATACACTCCTTTCTTGATTTCAAACCATGCAGTGTTCCCTTACTTGCGCAACAGCTTCCTGGTCTAGGTGTAGGTTTCACATTATGACAGTCAGATGTTCTGGGATCCCCATTTGTCTCACCATGCAATCCACACAGTTAAATGCCTTTGCATAGTCAATAAACACAAATACACTTCCTTCTGGTACTCTCTACTTTCAGCCATGGTCCATCTGACCATTAGCAATGATATCCCTAGTACCATGGTATTTCTAAAACCTCAATCCAGCTTGTATTTCTGGTAGGAATGAGGAAGCTGAAGAATTGAATGCAAGATTTCAATAAGCATCTTTGGAAGACAAAATTAAGTGTTATAATGAAATGTTCAAAGAGCTGGAGTCAGAAAATCAAAAGAGAAGAACCCACTCAGCATTATCAAGCTGAAGGAACTGAAGAACAAGTTCAAATCACAAATTTCAATATTTAGGATGCTATAGGTAATATATTAAATGATCTAGGAAGTGTCAGAAAAGTATGAAAGGAGTACATAGAGTCATGTACCAAAAATAATTGACTGATACAGAAGCTTTACAGGAAGTAGCTTATGATCAAGAACCAGTGGTGAAGGAAACTCTGGTGGCCTAATGGCAAGAAGCTGTGCTATAATCCTGAAGGCACGAGATTTGAATCCACCAGATGCTCTGCTGGCGAAAGGGGGGCAGTCTCCTCCTGTGCCAGTCAGATCCAATTTGACAGTACGCAAGAAGAAAAAAAACACCACCCAAAAAACCAAACACCAAAACCAACCAAACAAAAGAACCAACGGTGATCAAGGAGGAGGTTCAAACTGCTCTGAAGGAATTGGCAAAAAATAAGGCCCAGGAATTGCTGGAATATCAGTTTGGATATTTCAACGCAGATGCAGCCCTGGGTGTGCTTACCATGTTGTGCCAAGATATCTGGAGGACAACTACCTGGTCAGCTGCCCAGAAGAGTTCTCTATTTATTTCCATTCTCAAAAATGGTGATCCTACAGAATGTGGAAACTATCGAACAAAATCTCTACTATTCCTGTCAATTATAATGTCTTCCTTCCAGTCCTCCAGCCAGCTTAAAGCAAGGCCCATGGCTCAGGATGCTTGGAACAGCACCCCCAAGTAAGCCCTGTCTTACATTGTTCTCGGGCTCTCTACTGCTGTTGCTCTTCTGTGGTGTTGTTTTTGTTAGGTGCTGTCAAGTTGAGTTCAACTCATAGCAACCCTGTGAACAGCAGATCTGAACGCTGACCTGCCTTATGTCATCCTTATCATCCCTAACACTGTTTAACTTATTGGTGTATTCACTGTATCAGTCCATCTCATTGAGGATCTTCTTCTCTTTTGCTGATTTTCCACCTCTTCAAGCATGATGTTCCTTCCCAAGGAATAACCTCTCCTATCAGCATGCCCAAAGTATGGGAGATGAAGCTACGCCATCCTTTCCTCTAAGGAGCACTCTGACTGTACTTTTTCCAACACCTCTCTGTTTGGTCTTTTGGCAGTCCACAGGATATTCCACATTCGTCTCCAGTACAACAGTTCAGAGGCTCTCCTGCAGGTCTTAGACACCCTGGCCCCAAAGAACTTAAATCTGCTTCTTCTTTGCTGATAGTGAGGATCCCAATTCCTGCTACTGAACCTGCTCAATTTAACCTTGCAAGATGACCATTCCCCTCATGGATTGACGGTACACCTTATGTGTGTGTGTTCCTGCCCAGCTATGGCAATGTCAAGTCAAAGGCAGTGACTTCGGAAAGCTCTTTTAAACAATAAACCCATCACCCTATAGATTATCTCCAGCAAGTAACACTACGTGACTGGAAAATTGTGACGGGAGGTAGACTTTTTTAAACCATATTCTCCATTAATAAAATGAAACATCACATCATTGTGCTTCACTCTGGCATGAGTTGATTACCCACTCTCAAGAAGCTATTTATGCCTTGAACTTTAATTTAGGGATTCCAGGAGATAGTGGAAATGCGATTCTTTTACTTTAAAGAAGTTTCCAAAGTTATTAAGCAAGTTGCCCTACCATCCTCCTTCAGATTCCTACCATGGTTCCTGAAGGCACTGTAGCTGGCGAATGGTAATTGAGTGGGATTTAGATGTTGGAGTGAAATGCTAGCTGTAGGTCCCACTTGCGCTGGGCAGATATTTAGTAACAGTGTTCTTCCTTTCCAGGTATGGCTTCTCCATCAAAAGCCTGAGTCTCTCAATCCTCTGACTAAATACATGAGTGCCACTACTGGCTTTGGGAAAAACTATGTAATGACCCAAAAGGTAAATGTGTTTATATTTTTATGTTAAACATGCTTCCTACTAAGCTGGTGACCAGGTTCCTATTTCCCAGACCAGCTCTCTTCCCAGCTGCCCAGCTCACTTTCCTGGGTCTTCGTTTCTCCTGATGGTGCCACACTGACCTTTTTCCATTTCTTTCTGCTCCATCCTGCCTCTAAGCCTTTGCACATCTGTTCTGATTTAAATACCCTGTCTGTTCTTTCAACTACCTGATTTGTATTCATTTTTAAGGTCTCAACTCACATCTGAGCCTTCTGTCACACTGTCGACAAGTCAGGTCTGTTACTGGTTTGCTTGACCTCTTTTACTTGTTTGGTATAGCACCCATTCATCCTTGGACTTTCTTGTGAAAATATAAATCTTACAGCAGTGAGGATTACTTACTTCTTTTCTGTCATGGCACCATGTACACTGTGGTGTTATTGTTATGTGTCATGCAGTCGACTGTGACTCATAGCGACCCTGTGAACACTGGCTTTGAACCTTGCCCTGTCCTGTGCCATCCTCATTAGATCCACAGTTGAGCCCTTGTTACAGTCATTGTGTCTGTCCGTCTTGTTAAGGGTCTTCCTCTCATATGCTGACTCTCCACCTCTCCAAGCATGATATCCCTCTCCAAGGATGGGCCCCTCCTTACAGCATGCTCCAGGTGTATGAGGTGGAGTTTCACCAACCTCGCACCCATTATAGTTGTTCAATACATGTTACTGCAAGTTGGAACGTGAAGTGTCTTTCTCCATCAAGTTAACCTCCTGTGGGAGGTTCCAGCAACAGTTCAGGTTGTGGCAATATCAGCTTACAGAAAGTGATATTCTTTTGAAGAGTCAGTGAGTGGAGGGAGTCCAGAAAAAAACAAAACAAAACCACAGTACTGTGATTTTGGACACTGTATAACCTTGAAAAGGAAATGATAGAGTTACATGTAAGGAAATGAGAAGATCTATTTTGAACCTTTCAGAACGGTTTTATTTTTGTCATAAATGAGATTTGCTTTAGCTTCCCACTTTTCACTGCCTACTTTATTGCGCGGAGGCACGGGCATATAATAAATCAAGCTCACTTCTAACCCAGTCATGGTTTTTTTTTGGAGGCTATAAATCCCATAGGAGGAACTTGCCCATTTTACTCTTGTGGAGCTGCTGGTGAATTCGTACTTCCAGGGAGAGTTCAGCCTTTGGGTTAGCAGCACAACTCCTTATGGATTATATGCCACCAGAGCTAATCTCATAAAACTAGAGGGCGGTAAATTAGTTACTGCAGCAAGTCAAATAATTGGCATTGATTTATACTTTCTTTGGTGCCTTCCAGAATATGTTTGAACTACTAACTCCTTGAGATTATTTGCAAAAAAAGAGGTTCCTCAGGCAAGACCAGTTGAGTACTAGTTCTTCATGTCACCTCTGTTTTGAAGATTGTTAGGGGTACAGTGGTTCGGTGCTTAGCTGCTTACTGGAGAGTTGACAGTTCAAACCCATCAGTTGCTTCACTTGCTGAGAGATGTGCTCCTGTAGAGACTTACAGGCTTCGAAATGCCATGTGGCCATTCTGCTCTGTTCTGTAGGGTTGCTGAGAGTTGAAATTGACTGGGTGATGATGGTTTAGTATTTCAGAGACATGTGCTAAGCACGGTTAGCTCAGTAAAGGCTTTGAGAAGTCTGTGTGAAAGTGTTTACTGTTGGTTTATCCAAATTTCCACGATTATATAATGAATAGTTTTTTGTTTTGTTCTGTTAGGGTCTATGCCACCAGAGCTCTTTGAGGAGAAAGGAGAATTAGGTATGATGAGATGATTAAACAGCAGTTAGAATTTTTAAAAGCTCTAGATTGACCTCTTTTGTCCTTTTTAAAAAAATATTGGTTTGCATGCGAAATTCGTATACATTGTGTATCATTCATTCATATACATTGTGTATCATTCATGTACATTGTGTTTCATACATTCCTTCATTCACATTGTGTTTCAGTCATCATTCCCACACTGTTGTAGAAAATGAATCACCATTGATCTATGCCTATCACCCCATCTTTTCAGATCCCTATAGATCTATCCTAATTCCTTCACCTTTTGCTTCAACCCACCAAACTCTGTGACCCTGTGATTTTCCCCCTCCCCACCTTCAGCCCCACTTCTCTCTCTCCTTTCCCCATTGGACTTTTATCTACATCTTACTGGTTATCCTTGTATTTTTACAGTAATAGTCTTATGCAGTATTTGTCCTTATGAAACTGAGTTAGTTCACTCAGCATGATGTTCTCTAGTCTCTTCCATGTTATAAAGTATTTTACAAAATTATTGCTCCTGAGTGCTGTATAGTATTTCACTGTGTGAGCATACCAGTGTCTTAGCACATTCATTTGTTATTGGACATTTGGGCCGTTTCTGTGTTTTTGCTATTGTGAATAATGCTGCTGTGAAGATTAGTGTATAAATCTCCGTTTGTGTCTCAGTCCTGTTTTCCTTGGGTTATATCCCTAGTAGGATAGCTGGATCATATGGCATTTCTGTTTTCAGCTTTTTGAGGAAACACCAAAAAGCCTTGCAGAGTGATTGCTGTTTGGTCCTTTCTTATCACAGTTGTTTGGTGTCTTCTATCACTAAGTATAGAGGCTCTGGTGGCCCAGTAGGTAAGGACTTGTGCTGCCAGCACAAATGCAGGCAGTTTTAATCTACCAGCTCTGCAGGAGAAAGGTGGGCAATCTCTGTGCAGTGTACACTCTCTGAAAACCCTCTGGTGGGCCAGCTACAAGTTATTTCCGACTTGACAGTACATACTAACAAAAACAACATTGCTAGGTACAGTGTTGAGGAGTTAAAAGAGAGAGCAACATCTCAAACCACTCAGCCTGTTCTCAGAGATACCTCTGTAGGTTTGAGGGTTGAAGTTTGAATTGAGAGTTAATAGGCCATCAGGTCTCGGAGTTTCCTAACAATCCCCACCGAGTTGCCATTACAACTCTTCTTGTGCTAAGCTCCCCATTCCTTACCCTCCTAATATTTTTGGTTGGTTCCCGTATGCATGTTGAATGAATGCCTTTCTTTACAGACATTCCATTCATTACATTTCCCTTTGCTAACCATACCTATTTTTACTTCTTCTTCAGATGGACTTAGATGTTGACACTGCTGAAAAATTTTACCAAAGCTTGTTGGAACTGGAAAAACAGATTCGAACTACGGTTCAAAAATCAGATAACTGGGGCTGATGGTGACAGTCTCTGAAACACTTGTCTCGTCAGCACATTCTAGGGCAGCGAAGGTGGTTGAATTGATTGATGGACATTTGTAGTGCACTGTAAGCTGGGATTGTCTCTTTTTTTTCTTTTTCCAGCATTATCTCCAAGACTATATAGATGTATGGTCACTTGAGGGGGTGTAAAAAAAAGTGAAATATCATTTAGAGATTCCCCACAGTGATGTTATATTCCAATGACTGGAGTCACCCAACAAAATATCTATCTATAGTTCTTTGTTAATTGGAGCAAGATAGGCGATGGGCCATGGTGAGGCTTGGATAATGGACTTGCAAACACACAGGCTCTCTCCTTTCCATTTGGGCTGCCAACAGCAAGAAGAAGTATGGCCTACTTTGAATACTTTTTCAATAAAAGAGATCTTTTATTGATATTCTGTTAGTTTTGCTTACCAACCTGTTTTCATGACCTTATTTAATGGATGTAAACTTGCAGCCTAAAAATTATTTTCAATAAAATTTCATAGTGATTTTCAATAAAATTTTCTAATTGAATGATGACTAGTAGGATCTGAGTATTGAATACACTATAGTTGTTGTTATATGTCATCTAGTCGCCTGCAACTCATAGCAACCCTATGTACAACAGCTCTAAACCCTGCTCTATCTCTTGCCAGTCTTATTGTCTCCGGCACACCAATCCCCATTACCCCAGTCACTGAATCAGTCCATCTCATTGAGGGTCTTCCTCTCCTATGCTGACCCTCCGCTCTCCCAAGCATGACATTCCTCTCCAAGGACTGATCCCGCCTTGCAACATATCCAAAGTATCTCAGATGAAGCTTCAGAATCCTTGCCTTGAAGGAGCAGCCTGCTCTCTCCCTCTCTATGATGAACATTTTTGTTCTCCTAGCAATCAATGGTATGTTCAATACTCTTCTCCAGCACCACAGCTCAAAGGCATCAATTCTTCTATCATCCCTAGTCATTGTCTAGCTTTCTGGTGCATAACAAGTAATTGCAAAGACTATGGTCTGAATCAGGCGCACCTTAGTCTCCAGACTGATATTACGACACTCCTTGACACATACCCTTCCCAATTTTGAACCATGCAGTGTTTCCTTGTTCTGTTCTGATGACTGCCTCCTGGTCCAAGGATAGGTTTTGCATAAGCACAATCAAGCCTTCTAGGATTCCCATTCTTCTTAGAGTCAGCCACCGTTTGTTGTGATCAACACAGTCAAATGTCTTTGCTTAGTCAATGAAACAAATAGACATTCCTCTGGTAAAGAATTGGCAAAAAACAAGGCCTCAGGAATTGAGGCATACCTATTGACATTTCAACAAACCAATGCTGCCCTGTATATGTTCGCCAAGTTTTTCCAGGAAATCTGGAGGGCAACCACCCGGCCAACTGAGTGGAAGAGATCTATATTTGTTCCCATTCCAAAGAAAGGTGATCTGACAGAGTATGGAAATTATCAAACAGTATTATTGATATCACATGCAAGAAAGACTCTGCTAAAGATTATTAAAAATGACTGGGACAGCACAACAACAGAGAACTGCCTGAAGTGCAGGCTGGATTTAGAAAAGGCCATGGCACTATGGTTATTATAAAGCTAATGTCAAATGGATCATGTCTGAAAGCAGAGAGTACACTATAGTGGTGGGAAATGGCTAGGACCTGGCTCATGTATGACCAGTAAGCAGCAGCATCATAGATAAATATTGAAGTTGTCAACCACTTAATTTTGCTTGGATCCACAGCCAAAAATTTTCTATATGGGATCAAATTAACAACAGTAACTTTCTCCAAGTCTATTCAGTCTGTATGCTGAGCAAATGATTTAAGAAGTTGGACTATATGAAGAAGACTGTGGCATCAGGTGTGGAGAAAGACTCATCAACAGCCTGCACTGTATAGATGATACAACTTTGCCTGCAAAAATAAAAAGGACTTGAAGCACTTGCTGCCAAAGATCAAGGACTTTTCCAAAGAAGACAGCCTTCAATATGTATTGCAACTCATTATCAGAAAACAAAAACTCACCACTGGATCAACAGGCAACATCATGGGAGATGATGAAAAAATTGAAGTTGTCAACAATTTTATTTTACTTGTATCCACAGTCAAACCCCAACTTAGCAGCAGCCAATCAATCAATTAATCAATAAATAAAAAAAAATCACAATACCTGTCACATTGGGCAACACTGTCAAGGTCCTTTTTAAAGTCAGAATAGAGCAAGGAAAACACTGCATGGTTCAAAATTGGGAAGGGTGTACACCAGGGATGTGCCCTATCTCCATACCTTTTAAATCTATATGCAGAATAGATTATCTGGGAGGCTGGGGTTATGAGAAATATGGCATCAGGACTAGACGAAGATTCATCAACAATCTGTTAGGCAGATGACTCAACCCTGCTTGCTGAAACTGAGCAGGACCTGAAGCACTTGTTGCAGGAGGTCAAGGACTGCAGCATTCAGTATGGCTCAACATGAAACAAAGATTTCACCACTGGGCCTATTGACAGCATCACGATAGATGGTAAAGAAAGAGATTGAGATAGTTAACAGCTGTAGTTTTCTTGGCTCCACAGTCAACACTCTTGGTACCAGAAGCAGGAAGTTAAAAGATGAACTGCATTGGGAAAGTATGCTGTCAGAGCCCTCTCCAAATACTGCAGAGCAACAATGTCAGTCTGGAGACTAAGGTGCATCTGATCCAGACCATAGTCTTTGCAATTGCTTGCTATGCTTCAGAGAGCTGGACAATTACTAGGGATGATAGAAAGAAAATTGAGCTGTGGTGTTGGAGAAGAATGTTGAATATATCCTGGTCTGCCAGGAGAACAAACATATTTGGCCTGGAGACAGTGAAACCAGGATGCTCCCTGGAAGCCAGGATTCTGAGGCTTTGTCTGATATACTTTGGGCATGTTGCAAAGAGTGTCCAGTCCTTGGAGAGGGAGATCATGCTTGGAAAGGTGGAGGGATAAAGAAAGAGAGGAAGACCCTCAAGGAGATTAATTGATTCAGTGATTGGGGTAATGAGAGTAGGTGTGTCAGAGACAGTAAAGTTGGTACAGGGTAGAGCAGGTTTCAGGGCTATTGTACATGGGGTTGCTAAGAGTTGAAAGTGACTCAATTGCACATAACAACAACAAAGAGGATGAAAAAAGTTTTTAAACCCAAAAGAGTAAAGATGTCAGTTTAAAGACCAAGATGTGCCTGATCCAAGCCATGGTCTTTTCATTATCTGCTATGCCTTTGAAAGTTTGGCTGTGAATAGGCAGATAGAGGAAGAATCAATGCCTTTGAAATGTGATATTGGCAAAGAGTATTGAATAAGAACAAACAAATCTGCCTTAGAGGAAGTGCAATTAAGTACTCCTTAGAGATAACTTGGCTTGTTGTTAGAAAAAAGCATTGTGCTGTGAAAGGTAGAAGATCATCAAGTCTACCAGTGACTGCAAGAGCAAGATGGGGAATTTCTTCCCATGCAATTTTCTGCCTCCAAAACCCAATGCAGGGTTAGCTCTGAGTTGGTTCCAATTTGAAGGCATTGAAAATGAGAAGCCGGTCATATGGTCGGAATTACAAAGACCATGGTTTAAGTGATTCACTACTCTATAGCCCTCCAGGGTATATTTAAAAAATTTTATTCTTAGCATTAAATGATATTTACTGCTTTTTGTGTCCTTACTTGACTACCTGTCTGGATATTTGTAACTGGACTCCAGAGGTCGCTAATTTCTTTGAGAACATGGGCTGGCATATTTATTCTGGTTTCCACAATGGGTTCATGTGTAAAGAATTCATGTATTATACAGATAAAGAGTCTCCTATCACAGTTACCGCTGGGTTCTGAGGTCGTAGATGTGAATGTTAGGATGCCAGAATGAAACATTCTGGAACATCTAATAGGTGTTCCAGAGGAGAGAATTGAAAAAATAGGAAAGAGATAATATTTGAAGGGATAATTGAGCCTATTTTAGAACTACAGAAACGCGTGATTGTCAAACTCAGGAAAGACAAGTCCCAAGTGAGATACAAAGAAATAAAACCCAGATATAGTTGACCTGCAAAGAACCAAAAAAACTGACCCAAAACAATTCGAGAAAATAGTAAGGAAAATTTGACAGGCTCACAAAAGATTTTAATGTCGCTCTTGAGAACACGAGAAAATAATAATCTCAAAGTACTGAGTTTAAAAGAGTTCCACGAACGTAATCCAAGGGAGGATGAAATAAGATATTTCAGATAAAAGTTAAAAATCTATTTCTAGAAGACCTTAAAGTGTTTAAAACATTCTTTTTCTGACCATGACTGGCTGCTAGAAAAGTTATCGTTGAAGAACATTAAGCCCTATAAAGAAAAAGGGGAATGCAAGAAGGAATAGTTGATAAAGAAGTTTCCAAACGTGTAGGCAGCTCTTAAACATTGACATTCTGAAACAATAATGGGATGAGTGTTACAGCAAAATAGCAATATGCAAAAAAGGAAAGTTTCTGAGCATTTAATGTTCAGAGGGAAGTAGAATATGATTAATTTTATCAGGTATCATGTGATTATCAAGATTTTACCTGTGTCCTCAAAAAATAGAAATAAAATACGTAATTTCCAAACTAGCAAGGATATGTTGTTGTTGTTGTTATGTGCCTTCAAGTCACCTGAGACTCATAGCGACCCTATGTACAACAGCTCTAAACCCTGCTCTGTCCTGTGCCAATCGCACTGTCTCCGACACACCCACCCCCACTACTCCAGTCACTGAATCAATGCACCTCATAGAGGATCTTTCTCTCCTGCGCTGTCCCTCCACCCTCCCAAGCATGACGTTCCTCTCCAAGGACTGGTCCCCCCTTGCAACATGTCCAAAGTATGTCAGACAAAGCCTCAGAATCCTTGCCTCCAAGGAGCATACATACATATATATATATATTTTAAAAAAGTACTAAATAAAACTATTTTAAAATATGGAAAATAGGAAGGAAGGAGAAGTAAC